AGCGCCCCAGGCAAGTGTGGCCAGTGCGGCCCGACGTGCAGGGGGGCGCACCATGGGCTTTGAGAACAGCAGCAGCGCCGGAGCACTACAGCCCTGGTGGGCGAGCCGCTCTGTCCGGGCTGTGTGGGGCAGGCTGCACAGAGTGATCCGGGGCCGGGCAAGGGGCAGCCTGGGTCACTGCAGCCAGGGACCACGCTGGGAGCCACGTGCCTGTAGTCATCTCTCCACCTGCCTTGCACTTACTAGTGACCCCTCCAGCCAGAGGGGGTGCCCTTGGTCAAGGAGTTTTCAGGAGTGTGTGTGGGGTGGGGGGGGTTAAGCTCACATTGGCAAATGGAGGGTGACTCTCTCCCCCTTTTCTCTACTTCAGTGCTGGTCACAGAGGGAGGAGAAAGCTGCAGCCTTGGTTGAGCCAGGCAGAAGGAAGGCCCTGCCCAGGCCAGGATGATTCAAGCAGAGGTGCCTAGGCTAGGGGGAGGGGAGAGCTACTTTTCAGCCCAATCTGGTTGGTCTGACACGGAGGAACTGCTGGAGGGGGCCTCGCCTGCCCCGGCTCAGAGATTTGAAGGGGGGGGGTGGAGAGGGGGAAGGGAGAGAGGTGTCCCTGGCCTTGCCCTTTATGTTTCCCGGCTGTGTCTGCGCGCATCCCCAGGGGGACCCATGCCACTTTCACCCCTCCCTCATGGTGTGCCAACGTTTCCGCAAGTGCTGGGGGGGTGGGCACATGAGGGTTTGGTGGGGAGAGGGAAAGGAGTTGGAGTCCAGTCAATGGAGGGAAGTTGGAGAGGGGAGCGGACTGGTTCCGGTGGGGAGGGGAGTTTTGGCTGGGAGGGAAGAGAGGGCCCTGGGGGGGTCAGGTGGGGGACAGAAGAGGAGGCAGACTGCATCTGGTCGCTGAGGGGTCGAGTTTGTCTGGGAGGGGGGAGGAGGTGGAAACTGGGTTCAGTGAGTGGGGGGGCGGGGTCAGGGTGGGTGCGGGGGGGGAGGGGGGGAGGTTGTCTGGGAGGGGGGAGGAGGTGGAAACTGGGTTCAGTGAGTGGGTGGGTGGGGTCAGGATGTGTGCGGAGGGGAGACAAGACGTAGGCTGGGTTTGGTTGTAGGGCGTGGTGGGAGTCAAAGAGCTGCAAGGTGAAAGAGGTGCTTTCCTCCTCAGTGCTTGTCCTGCAGCAGTGGGTGGGGCTGGCCAAAAATGCTTTTGCTTGGAGCAGTAAAAAAACCTAGAGCCAGCCCAGCGCACAGCACATGCGTGGCCCCCGCCCCTGGACGTGTGGCACACGCCTGGTCCTGCCCCCAGACGCACTTCAGCCCCAAAAGGCTGGGGACCACTGTGCTAGAGGATAGTGGGCAGAGCACTGGACTGGAATATAGACAGAAGGGTTCTGCGTCCATCCTACCATTTACCTGGTGCGTGACCTTGGGTAAGACACTAGCTCTGTGCCTCTTTCCCCTTCCATTCTTCTTCTGTCGTCTTATCTTCTTAGACTGCAAACTATTTGTGGCAGAAGCTGTCTCTGTAATAGTCTGAACATCAACTAGCAAAGTGAGCCTCAGTGGAAGTCTTCGATGCTAGTGTCATATAAATACTTACTACCCCTCCAAGAAGTCATCAAGGGCTTGTCTATACTTACCCAGAGATCAACACTCCAGAGACAGGGTTCAATTTAGCAGGTCTAATAAGGACCTTCTAAATCGAATGCTGATGGTGCCCCCGTCGAGTGCGATATTCCACGGGGGTCATGAGGAGTAAGGGAAGTTGACGGGAGAGTTTCTTCCATCGAACTTCTGTGGTGGGGCTGTCACAGAAATTTGATTTAAGCTACACTATTCTCATAGCTGGAGTTGCATATCTTAAGCTGAATTTCTCCCCCAGTGTAGACCTGGCCTCAGGACAACAGATTCTCCCCTTTGCCTCTCTTCTGTTTCTAGCTTGAGTCCGGTCAAACTTAAGAGAAGTAGTCTCAACAAACCTTAAACCTTTCAGTAAGAGGAATTGTATATATTTATATAAAGCATGATCTCAGCCCTGTTGCAAACAGGAAAAAACACAGACATGGTGGTGTGCCAACGTTTCCGCAAGTGCTGGGGGGGTGGGCACATGAGGGTTTGGAAGAGAAGTAGTCTCAACAAACCTTAAACCTTTCAGTAAGAGGAATTGTATATATTTATATAAAGCATGATCTCAGCCCTGTTGCAAACAGGAAAAAACACAGACATGGAAGATTTGAGAAACTTACCACACGTTTTTCCCGAAAGTCTATTCCTACTGTTGTGATGAATTTTGGGTTAAATTTGTTGTCCGTGTATCTGTAAAGGAATGTTGTCTTCCCAACCCCAGAATCCCCCAGGGCCAGGAGTTTGATCAGATAATCATAGTCCCCATCAGTCATAGTGCTGATCTTTATGAACCTGCAGAGAGAGGAACAACTGGTTTAAAAATGATGAACACCAAAACAGACAGACTGAGTCTGACCAATGAGCCAACTACCCCAGTATCTGGTCTCTGACAGGAGGTCAATGCCAAATTCTTCAGAGGGAATGAACAGAATAGGGCAATTTTGACTGATCCATCCTCTGTCATCTAGTCCCACCTTCTAACAGTCAGAAGAATTAGAGATTTATAGAACATGGGGCTGTATCCCTGACCATCTTGGCCAATTGCCACTGATGGACCTCTCTATGAAGCTGGCTAATTCTTTAAGACCAAAAGTATAACTGGATTCAGTCAAATATGCCAACAATTCAATTTAAAACAATTTTTGTTCATTTGACTGAATTAATTGCTATTGTCTGTACTCAAGATTGTCTGCTTAAAAAGTTTACAATGGAAGAGAATAGACCAAGGAAGAATGCTTTACTTTTAAGATTTGTTTTAGCTCACGTAACATGAGAACTCAAATGCTAGTTTCAAAGCTTTAGGCATGGCCAAGTCTGGTCTAATTGGTAAGTCTTGTGAGTTGATAGAGGCTGGAATAAAGATTTCAATTATACTTTCAAACACCTCAATAGTCAGAATTTAAGGCCAAAAGGACTACCAGAGCTAGTCTGAGCTCCTGAACATTACAGACTGCTACTCTTACCTACCACCCACCCACTAAACTCAACCACCAAAATATCACAGCCCACAAGAGACTAAACTGTTAAGTGCCAGAGAGAGAGAGAGAGAGAGAGAGAGAGAATAGGGGGCACCAGAAGGTACCCCAGGATCACACCAAAACTCCAGGACAGAACCTACTCATCATTTTATTGTGATTTTTTTAAAAGAGAAACTAATGCAGATGTAGTTGCATGTTCTTTAAGTTCCTGTAATTCCATAGACTATAATAATCCTAGTAATTAATTGTTCACAATGAAGAAACTTCCATCTGCTAAGATCTTCACTGTTTAAAAGTCAACACTGTAGTAAAGTGAAACTCACATTGTAAGTCTTTTCCACCGGATATAGAATATATTTGGGAAACAGGAAAAATGGCACTGATGATTTGTTGTTATGGCGTAGGTTTTACAGGGTATAATGAAACATTCCTGTGGATTGTGGAATTATTCCAACAAATGGCTTTGTAACCTCATCTGTAGTGTACAAGTTGTATAGCCTGTTCTACAGATGCTTCAGGGGAGAGTGTGTGGGGCAATCCATCTTAGTTTAAAAAACTAATTTACCTTCATGTTCCAATATGGAAAAAGAAAGTATTTTTTTCAAGAGTAAAAGGAAACAGTCAACAGGAAAGACTCCATCTCTGATTTCAACTGACACACTCAGTATTAGACTTACATACATGGTGGTATATTTTGCTACTCCACGATTAAAGTTTTCCTAAAATAAGTTTGAGTAAATGGCTGATTATAAGAACAGGTCTAAAGCCAAGGTTAGTATTTGGCATGGTTAGATGGACAAAGTCTCAGGTGGATTTACAATAGTACCTATTAGAGGTGGGTAAGATTTTTTTTTTTTTTAAGTTTAAAAACATAGATTAGATCAACCAAGTGTTGCTTGGAATTGCACTGAATTCACCAAATAGTTTTGGCTGATTTAAAAAAAAAAAAAAAAAAAAAAAATGAGGAATTAAAAAGTGTCAAAATATTTCATTTCAAAGTGACATTCTAGTTTGGAATTTGGCCAACCTAAAAATTAAAGCAGCACCCTAAAAATCAAACCAAACCAACATGTAAAACCTGAACTGTTTTACAGTAAAAATTTGTGAATACTTCATTTTGAATAGACCTGAAGGGGAAAAAATTAAGAACAAGATTTTGGTTCAAAGTAAATTAAATGTTTTGGGGATTTTTTGTGTGTCGTGGGTCTGTGTCCAGTCCCCAAACAAATTTAAAATAAAAACAATTCACTCGGTCTCACAGGTAATTCACAATTCTAACAGGTAATGTTAACAAAAGAACAAAACCCCCCGCTCCCATTTATAAAAGTCTATTTCTATCTCTAAAGAGAGCAAATGGACCACATCAGTGCAAGGCTGCATGATCAGACATCTCTACTACGAATATGTAAATCATTAAATTTGTGCTAGCCTGACTCATGTGAGTCTCATGCAGTGAGAAACAATGGACAAGATCTGCCAGACCTCTTTTGCTTGCAGTGAGCATATGTTCTTAGACCTAAATAGCTGCAATAGTAACACTTCTGAAGGACTTCCCTTGCCCCACACAACAGCTGTCTAATCCTGTTACTTTGCAAAGACTCTGCTGTGTAGGTTGGCAGAATTTACTCAGGGGAACCCAGATACAGCTTAAACAGAAAGAAAAGAAAAAGGAAAGGATGGCTCTGAAGCCCCATCCATTAAATGCATATTTTATTTCGCTTCTCCCCTCTGCCATTCAGCCACCCTAATCAGTATTTGCTGGGATACATCCCCCCCATAAAAATATTATTCTATTAAACCATAACAGAGTGAAATAGGTCAGTAATTACCATGAAAGTGGTATAGCATACCTCCAAAGGGCTAGCTTTGTACATCTTTAGTTCTAGAAAGAGACCAATCCTCAAATACAGACTTGGAATCTGATTAATACAAATGTAGGCACCTTTGTATTCTTAGAAAGAAAGAAACACACATGTACATTTCTCCCCCCCCCCCCCCCCTCTTTCTTTCAAGGATTCCATGCACAGAAGGGACCATTGTGATTACCTAGTCCAATCATCTGTATAACAGCAGAGAACTGGAGATGTTAAATATTGGTTAATCGAATAATCGAGTAACCTCATGAATTCTTATCAGTTACTTGATTATTCTATAGTCCCCTGGGTGGGGCTGGCAGCCTGTGCAATCCAGCCCCGCTCCTGAGCGGCCCCTGCCACTCTGCACTGCTGCCTCAGTTTCAGAGGCAGCATCATGGGTTGCCAGGCAGGATCTGGTCTGCGAGCAGAGACAGTTTAAAAACCAAGCTCCCCTTGCAGACTGCCTACCTGTCCCCCATGCTGCTGCTTCTGATACAGAGGTATCAGCACCGGATGGCAGCAACCTCTGTTCAGGGGAAGGAGGTTTGAGCTCCTAGACCTGGCATGAGCCAGGACTGATCCAGGCTGCTGGCCAGCCTGCTAAAAAGTTTACTGGCAGAGAGGCCAGGAGGAGAGAAATGCATGTAGTCTATAGCATTAAGTCAATAATCTTTTGCTTATCGATTGATCAGCTTCACTATTACATCCCTACATAGAACGTCCCAAAAATAATTCCTACAGTAGAGGGGGAAAAAAAAAAAAAAAGAGAAAATCCAGTTTTCATTTAAAAAGTGGCCAGTGATGGAGAATCCACCCTGCCCCTTGGTAAATTGTCCTTAAGGCTAATTACTTAAAGGGCAGCACATGCCCTTCTGCTTAATTTGCAGCAATTTCAGTTGCTGGACCATGTTGACCAGAACTTGGAGGTATGTTAGTTACTTCATTCTTTTTCTCCCTGCCACTTTTAGTCAATTCTTTGCTTTCCTTATGCTAAATGGCATTGTCAATACCAGCAATCATTCCCTTCAGCAATAGGGACAGAGGCAGCGTCTGGTAATACTGGTTCCTGCGTGAGCAATGCAGGTACACGCTATGAGGTTTAATGTCTTTCTACACTGAGGAATGACCACAGCAGGTCCAGATCAGAAAGATATGACGCAGAAAAGCATAAGAATAGCATACAAAGATGAAGGGTCATTTATCAGTAGTCATGGTTCCTGCTGGTTTGGGAAAGAGATGATCATGGTTCTTAACAGTAGTTCTAACCAAATGAGGTCCTCAGTAGCCCTCTGTTGTGGTTGACTTGCCGAATACAAGTCCAGATTGCACCCAGGCAGTGATCTCTTAATAGGTCAATGCTACTCTAGCATATGCCTGACAGCTAAAGAAACGACATTTTTGCATCAGTTTTTCTAAAGAAGCACTTACAAAGTTTAGATGCTGGCTATTGTCCCCAGTCTGACAAAATTAAAAACTAAGATCTTCAAATGAGGAACAGTTACAAATTTGAGGCACCATAGTTTATCAGGGAAATCAGGAGTGAAGTGAAAGTCAGTGGTTTCATTCCAAGCTCTGTACAGGATGAGTTATGTTAGCTTCCCTGGTGCTTTAAATACTAAAGGAGTCTGTAAGCGTTCATCAACTCTAAGGTCACAACCTCCCCAAGGGGACCCAGAAGACAAGTGGGGGGAGTAGGAGTCGTCATGAGGCCCTGAAAATCTTGTTACAATCTAAAATAAAAACAGTCTCACTTCTGACTCCCTGTGCTGAACTCTGTTAACCTCTCTAAACACACACATAAATAGGTCCATATAATTCATTTATCCTAGGTGTTTTATTCTCAGTTTTGTAGTAAACGCAATGCGGTACGGATGTAAGTTACTGGTTGACTATCCAATAAGCAAAAGCTTAGTGGATAGTCGACTAGTCACCTCCCCACTTACTGCCTCTATCAGAGGCGGCAAGGGACGGGGAAACAGAAGTCGGTTGTAGAGGAACAGCTGGCTTAATATCCGGCTCCCCCTCCACTCCGCCCCTCCCCAGTACCATCTCTGGGGGGGGGGGGGGGGGGTTTAAAAGGCTAAAGCACAGCAGGGATGCCCAGCATGAGCTGGGACAGCTGATTCCAACTCGTGCTGGGTCCTCCCTGATGTATACCAGCCTTTTAAATGTATAAAGAGCCTGTTGGCTCTGCGCAGCAGGAGGGACCCATTCCAAGCTGCCAGCCAGCTGTCCCAGCTCGTGCTGGGTCCCTCCTGCTGTGCTTCAGCTTTTTTAATGCATTAAGAGCCAAAAGGCTCTTAATGCATTTAAAAGGCAGAGCTGCAGTGGGGTTAGCCTGCTGCAGCACCCTTGCTTATCAACTAATCAATGGAAAAATCCATTGCCTAGTTGATTAAACTAAATTTAACTTCCCTACAATGCAGTCATGATTTTTTTTTTTAAATTTTGAAAATAA